AACTACATAAGAAGGTATTGTACAATACAATGTAAAGTTATATGTTATGAGTCTCCCTTGTAGGGTGTATATATTCATTACACACGTCTGCGTTCATGAGTTCACATAGTTTGCAAACTGTGTGCCAACCAGTTCCTAGTACCATGATCTTTATAAAAAGCAAAAAGGTTCCGTGAATTATTTGTGGGCGCGATACTGCCAGGTGACTCAGGTCAATGCAGTGAATATAACCTGTTGTGATAAAAAAGGAAGAACATGTTCCCATCACCTAGATAACTAAAGATCATATAGATGACCTTTCGCTCGGGAGACAATGGATTTGCGATCTCACGGTAAACACCGCCACACTTTTCTATACACACCCGTTATCCGGAAACCTCTCAAAACCTTTCACCTTTGATCTGTAATCACTGTGAAATGAATGACGCACCTATCCAATTTGATTCTTCCGTTTAGTGATTGCTTAAAGACTCCAGATAGTTACCAAGTCAAAGTTGTAGCAGATAATGATGAAAATAAAATATGAACAATAAAAATAGGTATATAAGCGTTATCAATTGAAGGATGTTTCTAGTTGTAAATAATTCAACCATTCGTTGAATAAATTCACCAAATAACTATACAAAATTAATAAGTACCAATGAGCTGTCTGACTGATTGAGAGAAATGTAAATGTAATTCAATAGATGCATAAATTAGCATTGATATACTATAATAATAACAATTGAAAATAACAAAGACATAATCGAACCCAAAACATGTTATAACGCCGTTTATAACACCTACCAAGGAGTCTGAAACTCTTGGTCTGAGAACTAATAGCTTTTGGACGAGGCTGAAAACGGCTGCCTATTATGTGAACCCAACGTTGGATTTTGACGTGAATCACGTGAATCATGTAACGGTATTCCATTCTTTTGAATAGCTTACAGTTTTTAATTTCTGAAGTTATGACATCTACATTGAATAATTTTGGGCAGCTCCGTGTTGCATAGGCCTGCTTTTTCTTATGTGTCCATTCAGTTTATGCACAAGCTCAAACCATCGACCAAACGTAGTCGACACAGTCCTTATACATGGACTTGACGGTTTGCATTTTGTCCTTCAGTGCAGTGCATGATTAATAAAATGAAATGAATGACGTGAAACCATTGTATCTTCGAAAAGTTTTTCTTAGAAATTAGTGTTTCGTGATTTATTTGGCATACAGTCTGGAATCAGATGCGTGTGCGCATATATAATTTGATAATACAAGATATATATGTATATATGACAGTTTTGTAAACAACGGTGTTGATTGTTGTTTTTGTAGCTCGGGTGAGTGTAACTGCAGTTACAGTTACTGCATTGAGAATGTCACCTCGATTGGTGATGAAACGTTTTCAATACAATTGCCAAGCTCGGCGGACAACTGAACATTATATATATATGAGTACTATCGCTCAATTACCTATACCTGATTGATTCTTTTAGGTAAGAAACAGCTGTTGATGATGCAACATAACATAGATAAATTTGTAGGCACGCAAAACATTGACCTTAGACTTGATATAAACACTCAGTTTCGTTTGCATATACTTATACCACATGAAATATCTGTTTGTTCTGGGATTTTCCATCTAAGTAAAATATTTCAACTAAGATGCTACGAGGGAAGACATCATTCAAGATTTTCTGAATCACCTTTTTAATGTGATGCTCTTTAATAGATTAATACTTATTTGAACTGACCATTCTCCAGATTCACCTTTACACCACTACTCACAAGTAACTGTGAGTGGAATGTGAAAGAATAATGTATGTTACATATTTCAATGAATCTATTTAGATCGATCCGACGTTAAGCAGTTCACATTTGATCGTGCCTATTGGTAAGTTACTCTAGTAAATTGATAATGACACTATTTTTGAAAAGTTTTATTCTAAAAGTGCCGTTCAAACAGGATCGCTTTCAAATCATCATGAGGAAAAATGTTCTAGCAGTTTGTGTCATAATCTCACATGAACCAGCCCATAATTCTTAGAGAATGAATTTAGTTTCGTCGTTTTATTACTCATGTCTTTGCGAGTTTTTCAGATTAATTTATAAAAGGAGAAAAGTAATGTGCTCAATTTTTTAGTTCGATATTTCACGTATCTCAGCTTTTTAATCGGGGTAGCCAAATCATTTCAATGATGTACTCATTTTTCGCAATTTGTTAGAGTAAATTTCACAGTAAGTCTTATTTCCAACGGTTTCACTCATACAAGAAAAAAGGTATATTAGAAACCAGTTATGCAAACGAAAAACAATAACTGCTTTCTGAGTGAGTCATTTACTGAATGAATAAGATGTCAAAAATAGATACAGCAATGAGAGCTTGATACTTGTCAAATATTCGTATCATACATATTGTTGGTGGTGTATGTTTACGCGCTTATGTACCTGTAAATGCTCATACATATAGTTTCAGTTAGTAGTTCGTTTATCTAGACCCACAAATGAAGACACTAGCACAGTTTTTCGTACGGATCGATAGAATTTCCTTTATTGGAAGATTGTGAACCAACAAGGTATCCATGTTCATTAAACGGTAATCGCGTTTTTCAGGCATTGCCGTATCCTGCTCTGCCTCTATCAATTCAAAGTTAATTTGATGAAAGTTCCATTATATTTTCTCTATTTGCATCGACTGTTTTTTAACCGTTCCTAAAGTGGTTGTCTTGTATAGTTAGTCTAGTTCAATGTCGAATTCGGATTTCCTCAGTCGGCACACCATTACTCCTGGTGCCCGTTGCTTTGCAGGACATCAAAGATTGAGGATATAAACGCTAAATCTTTCGCTGAAACTATGTGGTTGAGCAGGGTGATCTCCATTGAGGAGACTTTCTAGTTCACCTTTTCGAAGAGAAAATGAAACATGACATCTGATTGTATTTGTATGCATCTTCCAATGAAGGCTACCGCTGTTACGACATTGCTTGGAACTGATGCAATATACATAAGTCAACCCATACGCCATTCAAAGGTCATCGTGTAAATTCAGTGTGTTCTGCCCCTGAGAGCTTTTTGAGATCCATTCTTAGTGTGAGATGACGATGATTTTAGAAAGCATTGTGGTTAACCGTCAGATAGTGATGAACACAATTTCAAACGTGTTAAGTTAATTATGAATTGACAGCAAATAGTGAATTTATTTAATGTGAACTAAGTTCTCTTGCCTGCAACCTAGAAATTTATTAAAAATACACCTTAGGATAAAAAACTTTGTTGAAAGAAAAATATTTCTCATGGAAATGCAGTTAATCACTTCCACTAGACATCAGCTGTTATAGTGACAGTTGTTGCTGCGGCAAACATTCGATGGGTTTAATTTGATTCAACAAAACTCGATGATGCAGTAAAAGTTTGTCACTTGTGAACTTACTGAACAGTACATAAATCTGGTGGATTAAACGTGTGCGACTGTTTGAACTGGTGTTTATCATCCGTGTTTACTTTTATTAAGGCGAAAGAAGTGTTGCGGCAATTCTCATATTTGAGTTATTTGACCCTTTTAAGAAACTCTTGACCTCCCTTGATAGTAGTTTCAGTTTTTAAGAAAGCTTGCAGATGAGGAGTTAGTTTGAGGAATAGTTCACTCTTCAACACATATTAATCTAGTAATAAACACTAGGTCGAAGACTACCCACAATTGTAGCATATTGGTAATCCTATTAGCAGCATACTGACTGTCTTATAAACTAGCCTTTAGAAGCGGTCGCTCCCTCCGATCGAGCACTTTGTCTTGATCACGACCAATATTGTGATCCCAACTCTCCAAATGCAAACATCGTTTTTGATCCAATATGATCATTCGATTATATCCGTGCACACCTTAAACAAACTTCGCATATGTCTGTGTTGAGCACGCTCGATAGCCCATCTTCTCGTAACGCAGCTGAACCGTTGCACCTAGGGAAGCGTGCTTGAACGCTGTAGGTCATCCAGGTGTTGTATGGAGGGCTATTAGGATCGTTGAACAAAGTGTAGTGGTGGGTGTTTAGGTAATCTACTTATGGTGGGTTGACGCTGTCGTATGCGGTGATAGCCATTTAAAATCCACCATTCATTTTCAGTCTCAAAGATAGGATGCCAGGTTTAATTAGCGTTTCGACTACAACTCTCATATTACGACAGTATCAGGAAGAAACATAGACATAGTATTATAATGTGGTACTGAATAAGAAGAGGTGATCGAATGCTAGGAGTGCAATCCGAACAGTAAAAATACCGCAATTATTGGTACTAGAATCATACCTAGAAATTCTTTTCGAAATAGGGAATAGAAAAATAGCCCTTTTATGCCAGGGACAAAAAAGTGAAGAAGAATTAAAATGAATTGAGATATATCTAAATGAATTATTACTAGAAGTATGTTTTAACCGTCATAGTTACCGATAACCTAACGGGAACCACACAAAAGGTTGATAGGTGCTAACTACATGTAGTCCCGTTTCAGCCTTTGTGTTATTTCTGAGCGTCCTTTCAAGAACGAAAGCCACCCCCTTGCTTTGAACACATTTGTTCGGTATTCACTATGTGAGCTCTGCGGAAGGAATACTGTAGTAATTCAAACCTTTTAAATGAAAATATCATTGAATAATTAAGGATTCAGCTCAAAATCGTGCTAACACGGGTGAGTTTGATTGAGGAAACCAATTATTTCTTCTTATTGGTTAGGATTTCCTGTCGTATACCTCCACTAATGGTAACTAACCAATATCTTGTCGTTCAGTAAAATATGAAGTTTTCTTCTTGTTATTTTTACCCCTATTGGTTATTGGTATTCCCGTTAAGTCGGATCACTGTTTTACCCATTTACCGGCAGTTTACCGGTAATATTGTGTATTTTTCATGCAGCAAAGTGAGCTCTCGATTATAAGTTGTTCACACTCTTAGGTCGCACGATGGATTTATAGCTCAAGATGATGGAGTCCTCATCCCAGATGGACCCAAATCGTCGTATGTGAGCCAAGAAATGGTCTTCAACGATCTAGGAAAAGGAATACTCGACAACGCATTTAGCGGATATGCATGTTCCTTGTTTGCTTACGGACAAACTGGATCTGGAAAATCTTATTCCATCATGGGTTATGGACCNAACCGGTAAGTATTTCAGGAGATAATAATATAACTGGTTGATAGCGGCATCGTGCCCATCATATGCGAAGAACTCTTCAAAAGAATCGATGGTTCACAAGAAAAGGACAAAGTGAGTGAAAAAGAGAAAACAATTATCAGTAACTAATTTTAACATATTCCAGGAATATCAAGTCACAGTATCCATGGTTGAAATTTACAATGAACAGCTGCGGGATCTCCTTGCATCCGATTATGGAGCAGCGTCTAAATCACTTCCTGTTAGACAGTCTCCTTCATCAGGATTTTACGTTCAAGGACTGAAGCAAATTCCCGTTGGNTATGGAACAGGGTTAGTGAATGTATTTATCAATGACTAACTACGAATAATACGGTTTCAAAGATAGTGTCGAATAAAATCATCCATCTAAACATATTGTGATCAGCTTTATAATATGACGTATCCTTTCAAGTTTTCGAAGTGAATTGGTTGTCATCATCGACTCTGAGTTGTGCTTACCGGGCATACCTCTTCTCAGACGCGATCGTCCAACACGTGGAGGTGGTGTTCTACTTTACGATCAAAGCGATCTCCAGTGCGATGCAGTTGATCCTCCTGTTTGAACCCCTGATACAATTAGGTGCAGACTGAAACTGTCGAAGCACGATGATTGTCTTATTGTAGTAGTCTATCATTCTTCCTCATTCACGGAGTCGGCAAAGATACACTTTTGCGAGCTACGTCATGAGTCCTATCAGCTAAATTTAGTCATATCCTCTAATAGTGGGTGACTTCAACTGCCCGCTGTACAACTACGTAAAGGAGCCTACGAGGTGTGAGAACTAAGAGACGTCTTCAATGGTGGATCTAGTATTAACCAACTGAAAGCCTATGGTCGAATCAATCGACGTCTCGCGCTCCTTGGGACGCAGTGATCATGTATTATTGCTGTTCAATATGTCTGTTATGCTTCGCTGGAAAGAACTCCGCAAAAAAATGCGTCTGGCCACGGACTATACCAGATTGCAGAATTTGGCTCACTGCACTCATTGAATCTTTCCTGGGGACGTACGTGACTCACTGGTCACCTTACAAGCATTTACGGACAGACTTAAAAATCTAATCACCTCAGTTAATAAGGTTTTCAGAAAATTAAGGGTCCAAAACTCGCCGATTCGCAGTCTCACAAAGAAATGGATGTCTCTGCAAAATCGATCTTGTCGAGAATTTAATCGATTTCCAACTGACGACACATGAAATAGATATCGACAATTGTGAAACCATTATACCCAGTTGGTGCGGGAGAATAGGCCGAGGTACCAAGAAATGCTCTCATGGAAGCTTATTTCTAACCATTCGCCACTATACATGTCAATATGTCGAGGGATGTAAAGTATGGGATACCCGCACTCAACTGCCTTGGGAAGGTCACCAGCACCACCCGGGAAGCAGCTGAGATGCTGAAAAACCAATATGCCTAAATCTTCGATACATCTAACAACGCGAGACCGCGGATACCTCGTTGGGTACTCTTTCCTCCAAATCCACCACTGACTACCTTCAAGTTTGATGCCGACAGAGTGAAATCAAAGCTTCTGGGTCTACGCAAGTATTTATCCCAGGTGCAGACAATCTACATCCCCAACCACTTATTTCGTTAGCATATCACATATCTGAGCCGCTAACTTTTCTTTGCCAAAGGATGTTTGACGCAACCGTGCTGCCCCAAATGTGGAAACAAGGCATTATTTCTCAGATTTACAAAGGCGGCTATCGTAGTGATCCTGGCAACTACCGCCCGGTGACACTCCTACCTGTCCCATCAAAAGTCGTGAAGTCCATCGTAGCAGATTTATGGATGGAACACTTAGAGAAGTATGACCTTCTCTCTCTAGCTCAGCATGCTTTCCGTCAAAAGAGATCATGTGCTACCAATCTGCTCCTGGCCCGCGATGAATGGTCAAAGGCAGTAGACAATGGCGATGCAGTTGATGTGGTTTACCTGGACTTCTCCAAAGCGTTCGACCGGGTGGACCACGAGATACTGCTTCGTAAACTGTACAATTTTGGTATCAGAGACATCGCGCTTGATTGGATCGCTCCGTTTCTCCAACAACGGACAATGTCGGTACGAGTCTCTAATTCGCCATCCACCCCTATCGCCGTTTCCCGCGGAATCCCCCAGGCTTCTATGCCTGGTCCTCGACTTTTTCTCTTGTTCATGAACGACTTAACGAATATCCTAGGACCACAAGCACTATTGTTTGTAGACGACGTCAAAATCTAGAAGACAGTGACAGAAAGTAAGGGTTCGCTGGAGCTCCAAGAAACACTGAATGCAGTTCACAAATGGTCTATTGAGAATGACATTTAATTGAGCGTCTCCAAATGCAACGGGATTTCGCTACGCTACCATGGTCGATTTCCTTATTTCCTCGGAAACGAACTACTGCAGAATGTATCAACAAGGAAGGACTTGGGTGTTAGAGTTCACGAAGACCTGAGTTGTTCTATTAGCTGTTAGGGCATCATCCACAGCATTCAAACATGTCGGTCTACTTAAACGTGTTTTTGGTAGTTTTGAAACATCTTTATTCCCACGTCCACTGTCAGCATACATCCGGCCTCATACTGAGTATGCCATCCAAACCTGAAATACATGGTTACAACGTGATCTTAAGATTTTCGAGCGTCCACAGAGGCTCGCCACGTCACAGGACTCTATAATGATTCATACATGGGAAACTGCGGTCATCGAGTCTATGCTCTGCTCAGTATCGTCGGAATCGAGGAAACTTGATTTCAGTGTACCAAATATTACACACCCCAAAACACTCTTGTCGCCCACTTTTGACGTTGCCAGCAAACGTTCATCTACTGGGAGATCCATTCAAGTTACTAAACAAAAAATCTCGACTGGACTGCCGACGTCATTCCTTCGCCGTCAAAGTGTGCACTGTCTGGGATTTCCTACCATCTCATTTCGTTTGTGCGACGATTGATTCTTTTAAGGTAAAACTTGGCGAATCAATAACACACATTGCATTCCAACATCAATGAGCACTCATAACACAAACGAAAACAACATATGGAATTTTCTTCATTGTCGATGCAATTCAATTTGTGTAAGCACCCTATGGGACAAGAAAGGCATCCGCATGTAAGTAATGTGCATGATAGAACTTTGATTTTGGATCAAAATTTATAAGCAGATCATTATTTTGTGCAGATTTGCTGTTTCAAAATGAAAATTTCGACAAACAGTTATTATAATAGATTAATGACCGAGGTTAATTTCCGTTGTAAACTTTAGAGAAACTATACTTACGGTGCTGAATAGAAACTTCAGGTTAAAATAACATTTTTTATCGTAGGTAAGAAACATCAAGGGCTAACCACTCTATCGACCAACGGGGAAGCACTAAGTGGGAGAGCATTAAGAAACGATCACCAGGTGGTGGTAGCCTGGTGTTCAAGGTCACCAAATTATTAGCCCGGAGAACGTGTGCTCGAATCCCATTACCAACGTTCGTCTGCATCCACACATTAATTATAATTAGGCATAACTAACCATCTTGCGTACATTTGAAAATATTTCTGAATTAAAAGATACCGCAAGTTACCTTTGTGGTTAGTTCAGATGAAATATTACATCATCAACGTAATTGGACTTTTATTTTGAATACCCAAAAGAACCGACAAAACTCATAAAACGTCATGCTTTGCTTACTTTGCGGAACCATTTAGCTTGAATAAAAGAAATTTGTATACATCAGGCACAAAAGATGGTAGGTAAACATTTCCGGTACCTATTGTTCATTGTTGACCTTTGCATTTCATCCGTAGGTACCGCCAGGAGGACCATTGCTGCAACTAATATGAACGCAACCAGCAGCCGAGCGCACACCATGGTAACGATAACATTTGATCAGTTTCTGCAAAAGAATAAGGAAAACGCCTCACGGAAGCGTTCAATCGTCAACCTGGTTGATCTTGCTGGTAAGAGAAGTTATTCTTTTTGAACCATAGATGGTACTGTTTGGTGAGTAATAAGCGGATGAAATTTAAGTTATCACTTATCCGTTATCATGCATCTATTTTCGGCTGCTTGTGACGTTTAATCTTGAGTCTTAACCTGAATAAATTTTATGGACAACAAAAAGTGTATACTTACCTGAACCACATTTGACACATTATTTTTAACGTACCCAAAAGGGATCGGAACGTTTTGAATGTCACTTCAGTGAACATTTTACCCTTTCGGACATATATATACCTAAGATTGTCACTTCTCTAAAAACCTTTCGTGGGTTCATTTCAGTTATGAATACTTTGATCTGTGGTCTCGGTTGTCTTGTGTGTTTATCACACTTGTTTTTGCGTTTATAACCATAGCTGAAACATTGTTAGATCACTATGCACTTTTGCTCTTGCAGATCAAGAATTTTAGTTTGAAAATTTGATGACAATTTGAATATGTAATTCCTTGTAAGGATCCGAGAGGGTGGCCACAACTGGAGCCACAGGTGATCGCTTGAAAGAAGGAGCCAGTATCAACATGTCCCTCTCCGCTTTGGGAAACGTTATTTCGGTAATCTCATTTTAACATTTCTCCTTTTAACCATCAAACGTCGGTTACACGATGTTCGTGTATGTTGCAACATATTTGCACCTCATTCATACCTTGCACACAGCGTAAACGCACGTCAAATACACAACACTTAATGTTTGTCCCACTAATGCCCTCAATTGCTTTACTACTTTACACTGGAAGTGTCTTTTCACCAAAATTTTCTCCACAAAAAATGAACTAGCAGATTATGATGCATGTGGTCCACTACAGTAACTGCTATTATTCCAATGAAACTGATATTTGCTTTTCAATTCCTTTCTTCAATTGTAATCTTTTCAAGGCGCTGGCCGAAGGGAAAAAGGTTGTTCCATATCGAGATTCCGTTCTGACCAAATTACTTCAGAATGCTTTGGGAGGGAATAGGTAAGTGTTGTTGTTTGATTCCGAAATACACTAG